ATGGTGATGGCGAGAGCACGCTATGCACTACGAGCACCTGGTCTGGCAGTTGGGCGGCGAGTGCGAGTCCGTCGGCCATCGCGACGGCTGGAAGAAGGCGGGACACCGACAAGGACGTCGGCAGACAGTTGGGTGCAGCCTGTGATAAATTGCCCTGACCCCCGAGTTGCACCGATGGCGCAGCGCATCATGCCAAGCCCGCGAACGCTTGCGACATTGTCACTGCCAACGTCACCTCCCATGGGCCGCTCGGGCAGTACCTGGGCGCCCTGACCGAGCACAACTCACAGGCAGCGGTGGTCTTTGTGCAGGAGCATCGGGCGCTGAACTACAAGCTGGGGGAGGTGCTGGCGGCGGCGCGCGACGAAGGCTGGGCGGGAGCCTGGGCCCCTGCTGCAGCAACGACTCGTGGCTCCAGCGGGGGCGTCGCGGTCCTGGCACGTACTGATGTCGTCGTGAGCCACGGGCCCGGCACCCACGATGTGTACATCGTGCCAGCTCGGATCGTGGCGGCCCACGTGCATTGGGGGATACGTGGTGGTTGGGTTTGCCTGCCTGCCTACTTCATCGTGGGAGACAGTGGTTGGGTAGAGAGCTTCGCGTTGCTGTGGAAGGTGGTACAGTACTTCAAGAATGTGGAGCAGCAGGGCCATGCCTGGATGCTGGCGGGTGACTTCAATGCTGAGCTTGAGCAGGTCCTCAACGCGGACATGCTGCAGAGGTTGGGAGCGCGGCAGCTTGCGTCGGAGAGGCAGACATGCTTGCAGACGGCGCCTGGCCGCTGCCTTGGCTTCTTCGTGGTCCCCGCCCACTTGGCTCCCCGATTCCCTGGGCCGTTGGTGGATGAGGGCGCTGATGTATGGCCAGACCACCCTGTCCATGTGGGCCTCCGGGGGGCAGCCCACGAATCCTGGGTGCGCACCCTATGTGCCCCCAAGGTGGTCCCACCCGAGCAAGCCTCCGTGGCGATGACCGCAAGCCCTGCAGTCTGTGCGGGCCGTCCGCGCGATGACCCATCTGCAGGTGGCGTGGGACCCGGTCATGTGGGGCATCGAGGAGGAGGTGCTGGGGCGGCACGGCATCGCTGGCGAGGCGAAGCGACCGTGCTACTCGCAAGGGAAGGGCGTCGGCTGCAAGTGGCAGAAGGTGGGCTGGCAGCCCCCGCTGAAGCGGAGGCGGACAAGCGAGCGCACCAATGCTTATTCTGTGGCCAAGCAGTGGATGCAGCACATGCAGTCGATCCGCGGGGTCCAGGCCAAGTGGAGAGAGCGCACTGGCGGTCCTATGGCCCCAGACACTGCCGAGAAGGTGCAGCAACCGCTCGACGAGTTGGCCAAGGAGAGCACCAGGTCCCATGCCAACATCTCCAAACGGGGCGACGCCGGCAGGTATCTCGAAGCCGGCGAGTGGTCGTTCTTCCGGGTGGTGAGGTGGCTCAGCACAGCGACCAGCTCGACCAGATGGCCAACCATATTGAGACGAAGGCGGTGGCACTTCTCAAGGACGACGCGGCGGCCGCGCAAGCCGACTGGGAGGACTGGGCCGCGAAGGCCATGTCGGGGGGAGCTCGCCAGGGGCATCAGCGCGTCAAAGGAAGGGATCCCCTTGTGACGGTGCGGTACGTACATGCCTGGTGCACAGCCATGTGCGCTCGCCGACGCTGGGCTTCCCAAGTGGAAAGGCATTTGGCAGACGCACCAGCAGTCGCTGATTGCGATGCCGACAAGCGGTTTCGTGGCCGCGGCTGCCTCGCATCATTGCCGAGCTCCTCAAGCGGGCGACTGCCGCGTGCCCTGCCAGAACTGCCACTGACAACACCAAGCTGCCGCCAAGATCGCCACGGTGCCTGTCGGATGCGGCGCTAGCAGCAGTGGGGGGGGGCTCCTCGTGGAGGCTGAGCTGCCGGGGGGCTGGCCACCTGACAGGATAGTCTGCCCGCTGGCCCGTGCCCCCGAGACAGACGGAGGGGTCGAGGTCAGTGCCCCCAAGAACACCATCACCCGGATCAGAGGCAGAGCACGCAAGCCTGTGTCTGACCAGCGTCTACGCGAGCACGAGGCGGGCGCTAGCCATGCTTCGGGCAGGCGCAAGGGGCGCAGCTCCGTGGGCCCCGCCTTCGACCACAACCTGGTGGCAGAGGTCGCCGCGGCCTTTGGACATGGCTCAGTTACGCTGTGCATCGACATCCGGAAGTTCTTCGATGTGGTTTGTCCGTCCATCCTGATGTTCGAGGGCGCGCGCGCGGGGTTCCCGCCATGGTTGCTCCGGGTGATGCTTTGCGCGTGCCAGCAGCCGAGGAGGGCGCGGGCCTTCGGCAACGCGTCGGACGCCTATCAGTTTGCCCAGGGAGTCATCGCTGGATGCGCGCATGCCACCACGGCGCTCGTAGTGCTAACCAAGCGTGCGATGGTTCGAGCCAGCGACCCGACCAGCGGTGCGCGACCGCGCCAGTTAATGGGCGAGATCGGAGTCCAGAAGATCTGCTACGGAGATTGCGACCTGCGAGCCATGGCGCGGGTATCTCAGGCGCTCATGCAAGACCTGGTGGATCTCGTACTGCCCGTGCAGACAACGAAGATGGGTGTCGTTGCCACCGCGGCTAGTCTCAAGCGGCGGTTCACCCCGGTCGCGGCGAAGACCCAGGCCAAGGTTCAGCAGTGGATGCGGAATCTCGGCCACGAGCTGCGCGCGATGCGCCCGCAGCGACATCAGGAGAGGGCCCGCTTGAAGGTGCTGAAGGGCCCCAAGAGGCGCGTCGCAAGCTTCGCCAAGACCGCAGGGCGCGCGATCGGCAAGCTTCAGCTCGCGGGCACAGCCCCATTGGCGCTGCATTGGGCTGCAGCCGGCGGGATTTCCTCAGGCCCTGCGGCAGGGGATGACTGCTGCAGGGGTGATTGCTGGCGCGCCCAGCGGCGAGCCTCGCGCTGGCTCTCATGATGCAGCCGCAGGTGCGCTTCGACCCGATCTCCATAGCCACTCATGTGGTGGTGCAGAATGCGAGGTGGCTCTGGGAGACTCGTGCTGGACTCTCTGGCCTACAAGCAGCGTGGCAGGTCATCAACAAAAAGCTGAGCGTCAAAGCCTGCACGGGCCGATTGCTTCGGCATGGCTGACCTAGCACTGGTTGGGCTGGCGCATGGCGTCGGCGCCCGGAGCGCGGGATGACCTCGGACAGCAGCTCTGCTTGCGCGGCCGGCAGTGGAGCGGAGAGAAGCTTTGGGTCTGAGCCTTGCGGGTGACCCTCAATGGCAAGGATGCGGTCCGCCGTGCCGCGCAGCGCGGCGCCCTGCAGTGCCTCCGGGCAGGCGCGATGCGGCCCCGTGCCGAGCGGCGCGAGCGAGGGCTGACCCATGATGCTGCGTGCCATTGCTGTGGAGCCGAGCGCGAGACTCATGGTCACAGGTGGCATCAGCGCCCTGGCCTCGCGCGGCAGGCAGAAGGGGGGCCGGGGGAGCTGCCTGCCGTGCCCGCGCTGATGCAGGCTACGCGGGAGCGGCTCAGGTGCGGCGATCCCGCGCGCGACGGGGCCCCCGACGACGCGATCGAGTTGGAGCCGCGCATCCCTGGCGAACGTGCTGCGGGTCAATATCCACCGAGGATGACCACGGAGGTCCGTAGCTGGGGGTTGGGCGCCGTCGAGTGCGCTGGAACAGTCCTACGCTGGCGGCGGGGGCCTGTTCGCCAAGGTGCCCGAAGCGCGGGAGGTCAGCTGGGCGGTGGTGCAGGCCAGTAATGACGGCTACGCCATCAGGGCTCGGTATGGCATCGTGCCAGGCCCAGTGCGCACCGCGCCGCGTGCGCAACGCTATGCAGCGCTGCAGGCCGTCCGAACTGGGCCAGGAGTCGACGGGGTCGCGTCCGACCACCTTTCGCTCGTCGAGGAGGCAATGCGTTGAGCGGGACCCATGCTCGAGCTGGTGGGGCCCATGCTGACCTACCCTGCGAGATGCGGAAGGTCGTAGCAGCGCTGCCACAGGGCTCCTGCCGTCTGCTCGAGTTTGCGCGGGTGCCGTCCCACCTGTCGCCTGAGGAGGCGGTGGAGCGCGGGCTGGAAAGCGCGTGCTGGCATGGCAGTTTCTGGGCCGACCTGTCCGCCGCGCTCGCTATTGCCGAGCATCAGCCGCCTGACAGCAAAGGCAGGAACCTGGAGCTACTGTTCGCATCGACCCTGCAGACGGCGCGATTTGGCGCGTGGGCAGCCAGCCGCGTGGCTCAGGTCGGGGCGCGGGATCCGCCGCCCGACGGGCAACGCGGCCCGCGTCGCCAGCGGTCTCCGCCACAGCCCCGCATCACCCAGCCGGAGCATGTCCAGATTGGCGCCCGCGGGGATGGAATCATGTGCCTGCGACGCGGGAAAAGGGCAGGCGCGACACCCACTATGCGGAGGCTCGGCGCGACGGCTTGCCGCGCCACGCGGTTCGGGTGCCTTCGGGCGGTGGCAGTCGCGGGCGTCGATGACATCGCGCAGGCAGGCGCGGCCCCCCAGCCAGCCCGGCTGAACCGCGGCGCCGGCCGAGTGGGGGAGGCGCGGCCAGAGGACCTAAGCGAGAAGGCGCGGCGCCTGCTGCAGGCGGCGCGGGCGCCTGCGCGGCCGCCCGGCCAGGAGCAGCAAGGCCCATCCAGCGCCGGCCCCTCCGCAAGCGCAGAGGAGTGGGTCGCGGGCGGCACTCGAGCCTTACGGGCTGTCGCATCGGAACCTCCAGGTGGCAGTCCTGCTGCGCGAGCGGTTGGTTGCCATGATGGCGGGGCCCGCGCCTCGTGGCGCCGTGGATGCGCGGGCCGCTGCGAAGTCAGGCTGCCCCGCGATGAAGGTCGAGGCCGAGGTATTCGACCCGGGCGGCGGCGTCCAGGGCGGCGCCGAAGACGCGCGGGCCGAGGTGCTTGCACCTTTTGGCGTCGAGAGGTGCGACCAAGTTCGCGGCGCTGGAGCGACTGGAGGAGGCAGCGGTCAGGCGTCGGCCAGCGAGAGCAGGGTCAGTTACGGCGTGAAGAGGAGGCGAACCACGCGCCCCCAAGGAAGAGGAGGCGCACCACGTGCTACCATGCCTCACAAGCTGTCACGCCGGAGCCCCAAGGTGGTAGTCCAGCTGCGCAAGCGGTTGGTTGCCCTTGTGACAGGTCTCTGGAGGGACCTGCGCCTCGAGGTGCTACGGTTGTTATGACCGCTGCGAGTGCTGGATGCGCCACGCTGAAGGACGATGTCGACAGCTGCCAGAACGTAGACAGCGCCCTGGTCGCCGACCACGCGATGGCGGGCGAGGAGCTGGACCGCCCCGACAGACCAGTGTGCGGGCGTGTGCGGACCACCAGGCGCGCAGGTGCCACTGCATCAAGACCGCGGAGGTGGTGATCAGCCTGCTGGCATGGGGCGCCCCCTGCCCACCGTGCCCGAGCGTGACCAGGCCAGGCAGTTCTACCTGGACATGAGTTACGATATGCGGGACTGGGCGGCCTTGTGGTTTGAGGGCAACATGCTCCGCGTGGGTGATGAAGCCAGCTGGCAGGAGCAGTGCGAGGCATTTATTGGTGCCATGCTGCGAGAAGGGATCAACGCGCCGCTGCAGGCCATTCTATTGAACTGGTTCCCTGGGCGGTCGCTAAAGTCGATCGTGGCTAAGCTATTTTCGAGCGCCTGGTGGCAGAGTGCTGGCCGACGGGATGCTTCTTTCACCGGACTCTATGAGGCCACGTCAGAGGAGCGGCTGCGACCAGCTGGGCGACACCAGCGGGAATTTGATAACGTGAAGGCCATGTTCAGCCGCGCACTCCAGAGGCGGCAGGTTGGCCCGGCAGGAGCAGCGATTTCCGCATCAGGGTAGGTCGTTGAGGAAGGCTCTGCGGCTTCCGCGTCAGCTGAGCATCCAGCCGATGAGCGTCGGCCCCCAGGAGTGCCAGCGGCTGCTGCGCAAACCAGTGGCGGACCTGGAGGCAGCACCGAGCCGGGTGGCAATGAAGAGGCGAGCCCCGCTGGCGTGGCGGCTGCGCCCGCGCTCGCTCCGCTGGCGGCCTTTGCGGTGGTGTTGGCTGCGGCTGCGGCAGCCAAGCGTCCTGCCGCGCACGTGCGGCAGCGAGCGGTTCGACAGCGTGAGGGCAGTGGCGAGCCCGCGACGGCCCAGCCAAGGAACGCCGTGTTGCGCGCGACGGTGGTAGCAAGCCGTCGGCCTGTAAGGGCGCGCCTGGAAAGGCACATGCCCCTATCTCCCCCCCACCCCCCTCCGATGAACCCGGGGTTGAGGGTGGGCGGGTGGTGGGTAGGTAAGCTGGTGTCAGGACGATCGCGCACGGATCGGACCATGAGCTTGTTGCGTGCAGACAATTCGTGCTGTGCCGTCTTTGCGGCGCCTGCGTGTCTCGTGGGGCTCGTCGGCTCCAGGCTGATTGTGCAGGCCCCCTGCCCAGTTCCCAGGATTGCAGCCCCGCAGAGAGGATGCGGCGCAAGGGGCTTGACATTCTCTTAGCGGGGAAGCACCCGATGACAGGCGTCAGCTTTGGGAGCGTTCCGTAGGCTTTCGGCCTGCCGCGTTGGGCTTTCCCTCGTCATGCGTCGTCTGGGTTGCCGCTTGGTCGGGGTGTCCCTTGGTCCCGTTCCCTTGGCTGATAGCTGTCTCCGTAGGGTTTGTGGGCTGGGCCTGAGTGCCCTTTTGGCCCTGTGCTTGGGCCCGGCTCAGGGGACCGTCATGGTCATGGTTCCCTGGGAATTCAGGATGTGTACTCTGTAGTGCACCCTTGAGCGGACCTCAGTGGTCCTGTGAGGGCAGGCCCCTTGGGCCTGCAGTGACGTACAGGCTGTCACTGGGTTTTGCTCTCGGGCTCTGGTCAGTGACTGTCCGAAGGCTGGTATACACACCGCATCACGTCACATCACAACGCATCACATCACATCACATGACACCGCACCACACCACATCACACCACACCACACCACATCACATCACATCACATGCACACAAACACGCATCATATACAGACTTGCGTACACACATACATGCACACATGCACACATGCAGACATACATGCAGACATACATGCATGCATACATACATACACACAACACGCACACCATACATACACGCACACAACACACAACACACAGCACACACACAACGCACAGTACAAAGGTCAACACACACACACACCACAACAAATCACAACACAATACAACACAACACAAGACAAGAGAAGACAAGACAATACAAGACAAGGCAAGACAATCCAATAGAACGCAACACAACACACAACACCACACCACACCACAACACAGCACAGCACAGCACAGCACAGCACAGCACAGCACAACACAACACAACACAACACAACACATACACACACGCCGTACCCCTTCCTTTTCGATACTTGAGGGTCGAGGGCGAAACCCAACGCTCCTGGGAGGGCCCTCTCCACTATTTCCCTTCTCTTCCATAGGGAAGACTACGGCCTTCGAGAACCCGTCGGGGGGAGGGGCCGACCCCTGGGCCGTGGCACGCCTGTGCGCCACCAAGTACCGGACGATGCCCAGGCGCGCCACCGTCCAGGAGAGGGCCCTCCCCCCCGTAGGTTCTCGGTGGCGGTGGCCTTCTGTCGCCCCCCCTTTCTCCTGGCGCGCCTCGCCTGCTGCCGACCTGTCTCGCCCGCGCGCGCAGGGGCGACGCCCTGACGTCGAGTGCGCCAGGGCGCCTCGACGCCTGCAGCGCTTCGCCGGGCGCCGCGCGCGGGGGCGACGCCCTGGCGCCGGGTGCGCCGGAGCGCCTCGACGCTTGCAGCGCCACGCCGGGGCGCCCTCGCGGCGGCGAGCCGAGGTTCCGCAGGCTCGAAAGTGCGGGGGGCAGGCGGGAGGAGGAGGAGGAGGAGGAGGAGGAGGAGGAGGAGGTGGTGGTGGTGCTCAGTTGGGGGCCATCAGTCTGTCATCTCTCAACTGATCGGTAGCCCCTCCGTTACATATGGAGGCTGGGCCGCCTGTCAAGGGAGAACGAGGGCACGTAGTCCTAATGAGGAATTGTTGAGGGGAGCAAATGAGAAAGCGGGCAGGTGGGAGGGAGGAGGGGGACGCGAGAAGGAAGGCGGCATGGGGGAGGGTGAGGATGGGGGGACAAGGCGAAGGAGTGAGGGCGAGGGTATCTGATTCATTAAGTTCTTGTTCTCCTGAAGGTACCCACGCGCTGAAAGTACGACCCCGTCACCTTTCAAGGCCATGCTGGGCTAAAAGTATGGTGGCGTCCTCCGGTCTTCCTCCTCCCCCTCTTCCTCCTCCTCCTCCTCCTCCCCCTCCTCCTCCCCCTCGTCCTCCTCCGCCCTCCTCCTCCTCCGCCCTCCTCCTCCTCTTCCTCCTCCTCCTCCTCAGCCTCCTCGTCCTGTCCTCGCGTTTCTACCCTCCTTTTTCCCTCCTCCCTCTTCTTCTCCCCCGTCTGCCCTCCCACCTACCTCCCCCTTCGTTCGTTTCTTCCTTGCTTGTGCTGACTCCCCTTTTCTTGAATTTGGCGTCAGGGCAGATTCACAACGAAACCCGTCAGACAGCAGCTGCTCAGCATGATACTGGGCAAGATAGCAGCAAGGTATCGCCGAGCGCGCCAGCTGGGTCCTGGAACCTGACCTGCACAGTAGCGGGATCCCGACACCCTGTGCTCTTTGAAGCGGAACGCCCCCTGGCTGACTGTGTCCCCGTCGCGCTCGCGCCCTTCGCGCTAGCGTCCCCCCACTCCCAGGTGGCTCTGCCCTCGGCCCCGCCCTGCCGCTCCTGCGGATGGGCCTCAGCCACCGCCCGGCTGACCCTGTGGCCAGGCTGGTGCCCGCCCCGCCCGGCTGTGATGGTTGCGCCTGCCGAGCAGGGCGCCGCGCCTCCCTCCCTAGCGCGCCGCCTGGGCCGCCGCCGCCGTGTGCTCCCAGCTGGCGCTTCCAGCCTCTGCTGCACCGCCTCGTCAGCATCCTGGTGGCTGGTTCTGGCAGCATTTTGCTGCAGCCCACGCGCTGTGGCGCAGCCCCGTGCGGACTTATCGTGTTTTCGCTTGGACCTTTGTCCCGCATCCAGCTGGCGCCGGAGCAAAGCCAGTTCCTGGCAACGTGACGGACAACCGGATGCTCCCGCTTCTGCAGCCCCGTGGGCTCTCTTTCTGGTGTATTGGGTCACTCTGCTCGTCACGCTTCCAGCGCCTGCAGCCTTGGCTTTCGTTCCTGGGTGTGGCCGTGATGCCGTCTCGCGTCCACTGCCAGGTCACTTCAGCACCAGCTGACTGCTGCGGCACGCTCGTCCTGAAACCCTTTCAGCCGTGCGTTCCATCCCCCTCCCTCCTGTCCTCGGCGGCCGTTCATCCCGCCTGCGTGTCCTTTCTTGCAGTCGGACAATTCGTTTGTAGAGTGCCCCCGACAACTCGACCGCGACAGTGCCGTGCTGCGACGGAAAAATGTGCGCCTCGGGCCGTGATCGCCAGCTGGTCTGGGCTCTGCGCTGGCGCCATTTTCCCAGCAAGGGCTTGCGCGTCGATGGGCCCGCTCTCGTCTCCGAGGTATCGAATGCCCGGTTGGCTTCCCAATCTGGTATTCAGCCTGGGGGCCAGCTTTGCCGTAGGGACTTTCGCATCGACGGGCCCGCTGTCGTCTCTGAGGTCTCCAGGGCCAGGTTGGCTTCCCAATCTGGGGCTCGAGCATGCCTTGCCCTGCCGCCGGCGGCGGGTCTTGGGCCGTCGGGTCCCAGGAGGACAGGAAATCGAGGCTCGCGGAGGCCCGGACGTTTCTCGTCTCGGGCATTTTCCTAGCCTGCGGCGGTGGCATCTCTTGAGGCCCATGGCTGTGACCCTGCTGCACGCGAGTACGATGACGCCACCAATCGTTGGCTTTATCCTCCTGCCCCGCTCCTCCTCCGTCTCCTCTTCCTCCACCTCCTCCTCCTCCCGCCCTCTTCATATGATTTTTTATTGTTTTTCTTGGTCTGTCTTTCCTTCTTCTTCATCCTCCCCCTCCTTCTCGGCCTCCTCCTCCTCTTCCTCGTCCTTTTCCTCCTCCTCCCCCTCCTGCTCCCCCCTCCCCCTCCCCCTCCTCTTCTGGAAAGAGTGGATGGGTATGAGGCGGGCCAGCAGCAGAAGCAGCAGCAAGACTAGTAGCAGCAGCAGCAGCAGCAGCAGCAGCAGCAGCAGCAGCAGCAGCAGCAGCAGCAGCAGCAGCAGCAGCAGCAGCAGCAGCAGCAGCAACAACACCAGCAGCACCAACAACAGCTGCAGGAACAGCAGCAGCAGCAGTTGCAGCAGCAGGGGGGAGGGCAAGGAAGTACTGGACGCAACACAGAACAGATTCGGACAGAGGCGGGTGGCGCCAACGAGACACGACTCTTCCTCCCCCTCCCGCCCCTGCCCCTCCACCTACCCTCCCCGCCCGCGCTTGACCCCCAGACGTCCGACGATGCGATCTTTGCAATGTGCACCCCCAGGGGTCCCGAACCCTTTTCCCCCCTACCCCTTCCACTCTCCCCTCCCCCCACCTCCCCCCGACTCCTCCCCCGTTTCCCCTCCCCCGCGTCCACAGTTGCATGAAATGGATGCTACTCTTATTCCTCCCCCGAAGACGCGGGTGAGGTGTCCTGGCCTCCACCGCGTATTGCTCTTTACACACAGGATGCCGCCGAATTGAGAATTTATATGTGTTGTTCCATTCCGAACGTTTTCGGTCTTTTGGCGCTCCTGCTACAGCGTTAGCTCCACTTCCCGTTTTTAGTCCTTCCAAATCATGTGCCCGCTGCGGTGCTGACCTCATTTCGTTGTTTCGGTTCTTCCACATCGTGCTCCTGCTGCAGCGTTGCCTTCGCAATGGCCAGGGATGGGAGTCAGGAGTAGGACGTCAGATATGACGCTTGCGCATCCAGCTTGTCCCACCTCCCTTCTCCCTCTCCCCCACCTCCCCTCTCCCCTCCCCCCTCCCTCCCCTCGCTCCCCTCCCCTCTTCCCTGCTTCCCCGCCCCCCCTTCTCCCCCGCGCCCTCCTCCCTCCCTCCTCCTCGTGAGCTCCGGCGCCGCGGGCAAGCTTCCACGACCGAAGGCCCGGGCGCCCCGCCCCTCCTGGGGCACCTTGCGAGCTGCATCCGACCCGTGACTTGGCCCGAGGAGGGCCCGCGGCCGGGCCAAGACGCCCCATTGGCGAGACGACCGCAGCGCCCGGGGGCTCGGGGCCGTGCGGCCAGGAGCGCCCCGAGGTCCTGGCGCCCCGCTGCCCCCAGGGGGGTGGTCTTCGTCCCGGGTCTCCGTCGGATGTCGGGGGCGGAAAAGAGGGGGGTGATGACTAGGGGGGGGGGGGATATCATGGCGGGGGCCATGATATTTTCCCAGATCTCATGGCGCCTCTTCTTATCTCATTACGTCCCTGGCCCCCCCCGCGGGGCCGCGCACATGCCGCCGGTCATGATTTGCGCCCCGAGGTTCTGCACGCACGAAATGGGCACGGAAAGAATGGGTACGATGCCCAACAGCAGTTCCTGTCCATTCTGAACAGGACTCGCTGTCCGCGCCGCCGTGGCCCGTGTCCATTCGAGACAGGAGGCCGCCTGCCCAACAGCGGCCGCTGTTGGTTTGGGACAACATTTGCTGTTGGGCGTTGTGCCCATTCTTTCCGTGCCCATTTCGGAGGTCCAAAGAGGTCCTGGCCCTGCTGCCCCAGGGGGGTGGTCTTCGTCCCAGGTCTCCGTCTGATAGCCCCGGGCCCCGAACACGGCCCCCCCGAGGGCGCACCTCGAAGGAAGACCGCGGGCCCCTGGGGGATGTTTGTCGTCGCGGATCCATGTCTGAGGGCCCCGGGTCGCGAACACGGCCCGGGGGCCGAAAACGGCCCCCGAGGGACGTCATGTTATTTTGGGTCGTCCTCTTGCTCAGGCGATCGCAAACATAGATTCGGGGGGCGTGGATGAGCGACAGGTCCCGTTCCCATGGGAAGTCGCGGATTTCCGCCGCCGAGCGAGGCGGCGCTGGCCGCATTTTGGGGAGGACACCTCCCCCGACCTATGGATTTGGCGACCGCGCGCCAAATCCATGGATCGCTAATCCTGAGTATCGTTTATCCGATACCCATCCCCAGCGGCGTGGCCTGGGCCCCACTGGCCGATTTACCCCCCCAGATGGGGGTATAGGTCGCTCCCTTCGGGTTTCGAGGGGTGCATCCCCAACTGGGGTGGTAATGTGGTGGTCTCGAAGGGGCTGGGGATGAGGATGGGGATCGGTCAGACGATACTGAGATCCATGTCTGCGCGCCCCCGGCTTGCTCGAGCCCTGGTCCTCCCTCCCTCCCTCCCTGCGCAGGGGCTGCCCGTGCCGCCGGCCTTTGCGTCTCGGGCACTGTGCGGTGCACTGTGCGGCGCTGTCCCCCCTCGCCTCGGCGCCGCTTCTTGGTGCCGCCAGTGCTCTGCGAGTGGCGCGCCGGCCTCCGTCGACAGGCCCCCAGCGTCATCGGCGTCGCAACCCGGAGACTCCCTCCTCCCCCCTTCCCCTCCCTCCCCCGCGCCCTCCCTCTTCCCTCCGTCCTCCTCGGACCCTGGTCCTTTCCCCACCTCCTCTCTCCTGCCTTCTCTCCCTCCGCCCCTCCGCCCGCCGTCCCTCCGCCCCTCCGCCCGCCGTACCACCTCCTCTCCCTCCCTCCGCCTTCCCTCCCCTCCTCCCTTCCTGCCCTTCTCTCCAGACCGCGGCAGGCCGTCCTGGGCTCGCTGCCGCCGGGGACGCCCGAGGGGCGCACGCCGGAGAAGCGGGTGCCGCCGTCGGAGGTGCGCCCCCTGCCCAAGGCTCCGAGGGGGCTGTCGTCGTCGTCGTTGTCGTCGTCGTCGTCGTCGTGATCGTCGTCATCTTCGTGGTGGTCGTCGTCGCCGTCGTCCTCGTCGTCGTCGTCGTCGTCGTCGTCGTGATCGTCGTCGTCGTCATCGTCATCGTCGTCGTCATCGTCATCGTCTTCGTCGTGTCTGTCGTCTTCGTCATCGACGTCGTCGTCGTCGTCGTCGTCGTCGTCGTGGTCATCGTCGTCGCAGTGGTTGTCGTGGTCGTGGTCGGTCGTCGTCGTGGTCGGTCATGGCCGTTCGTCGTCGTCGTCGTCGTCGTCGGGGTCATGGTCGTCGTTGTTGTCCTCGTCGTTGTCGTGGATGTGGTGGTAGACGAGGGCGTAGGCGTGGTCGTTGTCGTGATCCTAGTCGTAATCGTGGTCGTGGTCGTGGTCATGGTCGGTCGTGGTCGGTCGAGGTCGTTCGTCGTCGTCGTCGTCGTCGTCGTCGTCGTCGTCGTCGTCGTCGTCGGTCGTCGTTCTCAGGGATCCGGGCGCTACGATTATTTCACACTGGGCGCTTTCGCCTGGTCTTGGGCCCCTGTGTCATCACAGATCGGTCTGGCTCTAGACATGCCGCAGCAAGATGGGGCCTAAAGCTCCGCTCGTGATTTCTCGCGATGTTGCAATTTTGCGCACCGCTGGATCTCAGGGTCGGTCGTTGTCGTCAGTCGTCGGTCGCCGTCGGTCGTCGTCATTGTCGACTGGAGGAGGAGGATCTAGGCCTCCCAGAAAGGGTCCAAATAGATGGGGTCGGATGATCGCGCCGCATCGCATCGGCGATGCATCGGTGATTCGGCTCGATGTGGAGCCCGATTTTCTCCACGACAACGGCGCTGTTGCATCGCCAGCGTCGCCTGTGCACTGCGGATGCATCAGAGCGCTACATCGGCGATTTGGCTCGATCCTCCGACCCCATCTACTCAGACCCCGTTTGGGAGGCCTCTCGAGGAGGAGGAGGAGGACGAGGAGGAGGAGGAGGAGCAGCCGAAGATGAAGGGGAGGGGAGGAGAAGAATCTATACGGAGGAGGAGGAGGAGGCAGAGGCGGAAGAGGAGGAGGAGGAGGAGGAGGAGGAGGAGGAGGAGGAGGAGGCGGAGGAGGCAGAGGAGGAGGAGGAGGAGGAGAGAAGGAGGAGGAGGAGGAGGCAGAGGCGGAGGAGGCGGAGGAGGAGGAGGAGGAGGAGGAGGAGGAGAAGGAGGAGGAGGAGGAGGAGGAGGAGGAGGGAAGGCGCGCTGGAAGCCGCCGCCCTCCGCGGACCTGTTCCCCGAGCCTGGCCTGGTGCCGTGAGCGGTGCCTGAGCGCCACCGCGCTCTGGCTGCGAGGACAAGAGCAGCGGACGTACGCCTGGCCAACGGGCAAGAAACGAGAGAGGAAAGGACGAGGGGAGGAGGACAAGGTTCGAGGTCTTCGGGCGTTTTCCGTTCGTCCTCGGCGGCCTCGATACCGCTGCCCCCCCTCGTTTTCGCTCTCCTGGGCCTCCTGCCAGGCCCTCGTTGCCACGGCTCGGTTCGCCTCGAGAGGCTGGTCTGAGCGCACCCCGGCAGAGGTCCGGGGTGTGGCGGTATCGGTACTCCAGATTTCGTCATAAAAGGGAGGGGGTTTGGACCCTCCCAGACGAGAAGTTTTAGACCTCCCCCCCTGGGAGAGCCCTCCAAAACATCGTCCCCAGACCCCCCCAGGCCCTCCAAGATAGCTTGGAAGAGACCTCCCCCGAAATGAGACCCCCCTCCCTTTATTACGAAATCTGGAGTATCAGTTGGTTTCCCCAAGAAGCAGGACCGGGATGGTGGGTGATCGACACGGGTAACGGAGAGAATGGTGACGAAGACCAACAGCAGTTTTTGTTCCGTTTTGACCAGGGCTCGCCGTCGGTGTCGCCGCGCACGTGGTCTTGTTGCGAAGGTTGCCTGCCCCACAGCGGCCGCTGTTGGTCTTGGACAGCGCTTGCTCCTGGGCATCGTATCCGTTCTCCAGTATCTATGCCCGTCGTGCCCAGGGAGGGGGTTGGAGCCGTGGGTAATCGAAATGGATACGGAGATAATTGTGACGAAGACCTACAGCTACTCTTGTCCGTTTTGACCAGGGCTCGCTGTCGGTGTCGCCGCGCAGAGTAGCGCACCGTGCGGTGCGGTCTTCGGAGATGCCGAGGTCACCGTACGGTCTGTCACCGCCCCCGTCTTGGGAGCCCCGAGAGAAGAAGGAGTAGCAGTGTGGAGGAGGAGGAAGAACAGGAGGAGGATGAGGAGGAGGCGAAAGAGCGTTGCTCCTCCTCCTCCTCCTCCTGCTCCTGCTCCTCCTCCTCCTCATCATCCTCCCTTGCGGTGGCTTCCGTGTCCTCTGAACCTTCATTCTACATTCCATTCCTCCACATCCTTCTAATCTTTTTCATCCTCGTATAGATGGTCATGCTCATCTTGGGCCTCATCCCCACCCCAATCCTTCTTCCGCATCCTTCTCCTCCTCCACACCCCTGCCCGAGCCCGTGCACCAACATGTGTGCCGCGTGTCTGGAAATCTTGCTCCCGAACTCTCTTCCCCGTCGGCCCCAGGACAAGCGCGGCAAGCCGCTGATGAAGGACCCTGCCGCCGCCCACCAAAGCTTTCCCACCGAGCAGGGGGGGCGAAAGGTCCACTCTGCCGCGCGTGCGCTGCGCCGCAGCGGTGGCGTGAGGGGGGGCTTCCAGGAAGCGCCGCGCGGACGGAAGGGACGCGCGGGGGCAAGGAGCAGGCAGTGGCACGAGGAGTGAGAGGCGGTGCTCATGCTTTACCCGCGAGCGCGTGTCACAGTGGGCCTGGAATTCCCCCCAAAGACCCAATCATGATATGCGCCATCCATAGAACAAGGGAGCTGCGTACATAGGAGGAGGTGGCGGAGGAGTAGGAGGGCGGAGGAGGATGAGGACGGAGGAGGGCGGGGACGAACAGCAGCAGCTGGAGATGGGGTGGAAAGAACGAGAGGAGCAGGAGGACCAGGGGAAGGTGGAGGAGGGAAACTGAGGAGGGTAACAACGATGACAAAGGAATTAGATCCAGAGAAATGAGCCACGCTAGAGCGAGAGCGCCCGTCTAAACAACGAGAACAAAACACCGATCCACCAGTAATGCCCAGAGACCCTCCGTACGTACCACCGATGCACGCGAAAAAATGCGGCAATGAGAGGGGGGGATCCGTAAGAAGATTGCAAACCCTACTAGACAGCACTTGGCATTCAAGCACGCCTCAACGTTCCAGGGGGCACGGAGTCGGATTTGGCTGGTCCGCGGTTCGCTGTGCGCATCCGTGGGGATTATTTTTGCACATGCAGAGGGGCAATGCACTTGGCATCTTGAAATGATGCAGTGGGAGGCCAGAAGCAGCGAAACTAAACATAGCGAGAACATCTAGTCGGTCATTACTGGTAAGATGTCGTGGGATCGTCGACGAGATCTCGGCGTCTTTCTGTGAGTTCAGTCGTATGGTATGTTGCGTCATTCTTGTCACGTTTCCCACACGAGAACGTATGCGGCATCGGGCTGTCCTGTCGCCATTTCTCTTACTCAAGCCAAGTGGCGCACGGCGCGTGTGAAGTTCCTTCAAAGAGGGTTCTGATAAGGGGTGTGATGAACGAGCGGAGCTGAGAATGCTCGATGACGAGAGCCTTCTCTGGGCCTCATGCTCCTTGTTACGCTGGCCGCTGACCCCTGCCAGCTCGCATTCCACTCCGGTACCGTACTTCACATTTTTGTGGCCTCCGGTACTGTATCTTGATGCGCGTGTGTGGTCCGATGTGCTTGAGCATTGGTTATGAGGGGGACGGGGGCTGGAACTTGGGAGGGTGGGTGGGTGAACGGCGGATGGATCAGGCTGTTGGGAGAGTATGGGGGAGCTAGATCCGTTTCTGTCTGTCAGTGCGTGTTTCCAGGTGAGTTGCCGCGTTTGTCAAGCACGGTGCTTCTTTGCTTACACAGTGCTCGTAGTTTTTTATATACTGGTACGCGTTTCTCTTTGCGCATCCGTGGGGACTTATGCGTGCACATGGAAAGGTGACGTGCGCATGGTACCTTGCAGTGATACGATGGGATGCCACGCGCAGCGAGAGTAAACACAGCAAGAACATTTCGTAGGTCGTTGCTGGCGCGGCTTCGTGGGATCATCATGGGGATCTCGCTTGTGCAGTGCTTGTGGATGCAATCAGGTGGTACGTTGCGCAGTATTTGTCACAACCGTCGCCGTGCGTTCCAGCAACGGCATCATGCATCACGTTTCCTGCCTCTCGCACTCAGCACGGTGAAACCCAAGAGTATGTCTGTGACATCGGACTGTCCTGTCGCCATTTCTCTTACTCAAGCCAAGTGGCGCACGGCGCGTGTGAAGTTCCTTCAAAGAGGGTTCTGATAAGGGGTGTGATGAACGAGCGGAGCTGAGAATGCTCGATGACGAGAGCCTTCTCTGGGCCTCGTGCTCCTTGTTACGCTGGCCGCTGACCCCTGCCAGCTCGCAGTCCACTTCAGTACCGTACTTCACATGTTTGTGGCCTCCGATACTGTACTTCGATGCTCGTGCATGGTGTGATGTGCTCGAACATCAGTGGTGATTGGGAAGGGGGAACGGGGGAGGGTTGGAGGGGGTACGGAGGAGGAGGATCAGGCTGTTGGGAGAGTATGGTGGAGCTGACTCCGTTCGTATCTGTCAGTGCGCATTTCACGGTAAACTGCCGCGTTTGTCCAGCACGGTATTTCTGCGGTTGCATGGTGGTTGTAGCGCCTAATGCGCAAGTGCACGTTTCGTGCTGCGCGTCAGTGGGGACGTGTGTGAGTGCGTGTGTGTGTGTGTGTGCTTATTTCTGTATTGTGTAAGTTACAGTGGCGACCATAGGAGGCCAAGCGCAGCGAGTCTAGATACTGCGAGTGCATTCAGTAGGTCATTACTAACACGGTGCCGTGGGATCTTTAACAGGATCTCGAAATCTTTCTCTGAAGGTGGTCATCTGGTATGTTGTCAGAGTGAGGGGGGCGAACGCTCATTATTTGTTCCCGGGTGCGTGGCTGAAGTGGGGATCCGCGGGGGGGGGATTCAGTTTGTTAATTACTAAATTTTCCCAGTGCGACCCTACCTAGGAGTTGGAGCATTTATGAAAGCAACATCTGCATCTACACCGACAGCTACATTTACATCTACACCTGCATCTACATCTACATCAACATCAACAGCGAGACTCACATCTACATCTACATATACACCTACATCTACACCTACATCTACATCTACATCTACAGCTACAGCTACAGCTACATCTACATCTACATCTACATCTACATCTACATCTACATCTACATCTACACCTACACATACACCTACACCTACACCTACACCTACATGCTATGCTATGGTATGCTATGCTCCGCTATGCTATGCTAGGCTACGATATGACATGCTATGATGCGCTATGCTATGATATGATATGATATGATATACTTGGCGATGCTAGGCTGCGCTATACTATGCTGTGCTATGATATGCTATTCTGCGCTGTGCTATGCTAAGCAATGCTATGCAATGCTATGCTAAGTTATGCTTCGCTATGGTATGATATGCTGTGCTATGCTATGCTGTGCTAATGCTGCGCTGCGCTATGCTGCGCTCCGCTAAGCTAAGCGAAGCTAAGCTAGGCTAGGCTAGGCTTGGCTAAGCTAAGCTACGCCAAGCTAAGCTAAGCAAGTTTAAGCTAAGCTAAGCTAAGATGAGATAAGCTAAGCCACGCTAAGCTAGGCTAGGCTAGGCTAGGCTAGGCTAGGTTCGGCTAGGCAGTGCTAAGCTAAGCTAAGTAAGCTAAGCTAAGATGAGATAAGCTAAGCTAACCTAAGCTAAGCCAAGTTAAGCTAGGCTAGGCAAAGCTTAACTAAGCTAAGCCAAGCTAAGCTAAGCTAGGCTAATATGAGATAAGTTAAGCTAAGCCAAGCTAAGCTAAGCTAGGCTAGGCTAGGCTAAGCTATGCTAAGCTAGGCTAGGGTTAGCTAAGCTAAGCTAAGCCAAGCTAAGCTAAGTGAAGCTAAGCCAAACTAAGCTAAACCAAGCAAAGATGAGATAAGCTCAGCTAAGCTAAGCTAATCTAAGCTACAGCTTCGCGAAGCTAAGATGAAGCTAAGCTAAGCTAAGCTAAGCTAAGCTAATCTAGGCTAGGCAAAGCTAGGCTAAGCTATGCCAAGCTAAGCTAATCTAAGCTAAGCTACAGCTACGCGAAGCTAAGATGAAGCAAAGCTAAGACAAGCTAAGTTCAGCTAAGATGAGATACGCAAAGCTAAAGGAAGGGGGCGCAGCTGGGGGAACCGCGAGGCGGATCCTGGGGGAACCGCCCGGGGCGTGGAACACTGCCCGGCCCTTTAAGCCAACACGGTAAGAACCCTTTCAGGCAGAGCCTAGGTAGGGAATTATTCTTGTTGGACCCCTTACAGGCGCCCTGGCGCTCTCGCCGAGGCGCCGGCTACATTTTCATTGAAAATGCGGCTCACGCTCGGGACCGCCCAAACCGGCCCCCCAACAACAACAACGCTCCCGCTCGAGACTTCCTCCTTTTTTGCTCAGGGCTGGTGTTCTTGCTCGCCGCCGAAAGCCGCCGTCCTAACAACGCCAGCGCTCCCGCTCGAGATTTCCTCCCGTTTTACCTTGGACTGGCGCGCTGGTCATACTCTCATCGGCGCCGCCCCCAGCATAAACAACGTTCCCGCTCGAGGAATCCTCCCTTTTTTACTCAAGGCGGTGCTCCTCCTAGCGGCGCCGAAAACCGCCGCCCCGACAAAACCAGCGCTCCCGCCCGAGACTTCCTTTTGTTTCACGCTGGACTGGCGCCCTACTCTCTTTTGAAATGGCGCCGCTCCCAGCAAGAACAACGCTCCCGCTCTAGGCTTCCTCCCTTTTTCAAGAAGACGGTGCTTCTCCTTGCCGCCGACAGCCCCCGTCCCGACAAAACCACGGCTCCCGCTCGATGCTTCCTCCTCACTTACTTAAGGCGGTGCTCTTCCTCGCCGCCGAAAGCCGCCGTCCCAACAAAACCAGCGTTCCCGCCCGAGGCTTCGTTTTGTTTTACGCTGGACTAGCGCCCTACTCTCTTCAGCATTGGCGCCGCTCCCAGCAACAACAGCAGCCCTGCTCGAGACTTCCTCCTTTTCTATTCAGGGCCAGGTCCTTGCCTCACCGCCGACAGCCCCCATCCCCACCAAAGCAATCCTGTCGTTCGATACTTCCTTGTGCTTTACCCGTCGCTGGGGTTCCACTGGCGGTCTCGCATCGGCGCAGCAAGACGAGGACACGTGTTTTCGAGGCGGGATCTGTTAAAATTCCTCGGAGGAGGTGTTTGCAAGACCTCATTGGGCGGGAGATCTGGGAATGGGAATGACGGACCCCGCTATAGAACAAGAGTCCCCCATGATGTGGATGGTTATCATGATGGTCGCATGCTTCGTGTGGAAACATCGCGCATGAGGGTAACATTATTGTTGTTGCTGCTGCTGTTGTTGTTGTTGTTGTTGTTGTTGTTGTTGTTGTTGTTGTTGTTGTTGTTGTTGTTGTTGAATATGATTACTTCTAAAGAATAATTAT